GATTGACGGCTTATTGTGCTTTAAGTATAATTACTATTCATTATTACAATGAATTCTGCATACACAAGTCGAGAACGTACATGTTGTGTGACAAATTGTGAAGACGTTTCCCAAAAATGGAGCCCGAAGTTTTTAAGAATCGGTTTAGAATATAATGTGGAAGAAATTTACACAAAAGTTTTTGGTTTGTGAACGTCATTTTTCTGGATGCGCTTTAGAACCTGGAACACGAAGAGATTTAAAGCGTGTGGCAGTTCGCACATTATATTAGCAGGTAACACTAATTGAATTGTAATAAATTGCCACATATTTTATTTTTAGAACGATCTGGAGAGCATCATACAGTAGAGTTCCATGAAGTTGATCTTGTATCTTATATAATCGTATTAAATTAAATATAACTCCTTGATTGGATTAATTGAAGTTGTTACTTATAAAACAAGTGCCCTGTACTCTTTGAAGGCCCTGACTGGTGAGGTGCATCCGCATTAAACTGAATTTATTTGGAACCCTAACAAATAAAATTGGACTTCACTGGCTGGATTCATTTACCTTTTAGGTTTCAGCTAGTCAAATCCAATGTTATTGTTACAGATCCGGAGAAATTCACTATAATGCGGACGTAACTTACATTTTAATATTTAAATTTGGCGCCATTCACGCAAAAGCTGCTGAGAACATACACGAGATGGCGTGTCATTTTTACATTACACATAGATATATAAATACCTAGATACAGCCATCCTTAACAAACGTACCTCGGTTTTTAAAAAACATATCAAAGAAATTTGTACATCTCTCCATTACTTTCTAACCAAGATGAAACATGTTCTATCTCTTTTTATTGCCTTAACCACTATGTCGTACGCGGATCGGACGCTTAAAACAAACTTATCGCGTCCCATATAAGTCATGTGACAGTTGACACATTTCACGATCGCGCGAAATCAAATCTAACTAAAAATATTCGCCCTAAACATGATGGGCGGTTTTTTCACTAAATATTATGTAATTATTGCGTTATCAATTGAATACGAATAACATTAGTGCTTGCTACAATGATAGACGCGTCCATAATTGTTATTCCTGAAATAGTTTTATTACATAGAGCTACGCCATTCAAATTTGGGATTATGTTTACCTTGTTTGGCATGATGTGCTGCAGTGAATTCATTGCTGGCTTGCAGAATATCAAAAAAACCGTAAGTAAGTAAAGTTTATGTTCAACATTTTAATTTTAATTGCATGGTTTTAGGCGTAATGGTAAAGGAAATTAAGTTGCGACAGGAAGTGAATTCGTTTCCAATTATCATTTTGGCCTATATGATGTTGATGCAGTGCGTTTGTATCATGATCACAAAGAAGGATCCGTGCAATATTCTTAGGAAAACGAGTTTTTAGACTGTGTGTGCGTGCAATATCAAATTTTGGTCGCTACGCGTCTTGCCTACCTTTCGGCATATGTCCATTCGGTGGGGTTTCTTTTTGAAATTATAGTACTAATTGTAGTAAGTAAGCTACACGTGTACATTTATTTAAAATAAATACAACACCTTAACAATGATATCCAATTGGTGATAATACTCATTTAGTGAACATTCATTACGTTTGTAAAAGCTCACAATCCGAATCATCGTCAGATGAAATTGACAAATTCGAATCATCACTGTCATTATTAACACTTATTATAAAGTTCAGCAACATCAACCAAATATAACTTCTCTTTTAAATTAATCACTTTCCACATGTTCACACACTTTCTTCCAGTTGTCAGCTGTAATTTTTTCAAATTCTTCATTTGCCAGCTTTCTAAGTAACATCTTCCATTTTAAATGCAACATTTCTTGCTGCTATGCGATTTAAATAAATAAAAAGGCGGTTTATTTATGTTGTAAAGTCTCAAATCTGATAATTTTCTGTGTGATTTGTGCTAACAATTTGATTGACAGTTATAATAAATAATGCAAATCTTGTCTTCCATGCTCAGGGTACCTCTATAAAGGATAGCGCTATACGTAATTAATGTGCCGAAAGTGATGGTAATAGATGGTACGTCCTTTTGAACTATGTTGGGGTATGGCTGTATCTATGTATTTATATATCTATGACATTACACTACAGTTTCCATTCTAAGTTTGTTGTTCTATGATAAAACTGATTCCAATAAATTCAGGGTACGACCCCTTCATTCAAGTGTCAGATTTTCAGAATCTCTATAAAACTTTGAAGTCCCCAGTCACATATTTCACGTTGCCCTTTAAAAGTTGTTAGATCTCAGAGCTTTCTCGACTCTTTTTAAACGTCTTTTCGTTCGACTAGCTCTAGAAACGATTACGACTCCCGAAATCTCTAGCAAAAACTCTTAAATAAATGGAATGCACGTAAAAACCATGGACATGGTTAGAAAATATTGAAAATCTTTCTAAATGCAGTCTTAGAAAAGATTTGCAGAGCACTAAACGCTTTCAGACGCATACAGACAGACAAACATTTATTTAGACTACAAACTACAGAGTGGCCCCACGAGAGGTATACAGAGGGTATTAAATTTAGAAATTTCGAAAAATCCTCGAACACGTCAACTTTGTATTCGAGGATTTTGGAATACAAATCACGAACCCAAGTCTTCACCCCTCTACGTAGGGAGCTTAACCCCTAAAATTTGAAATGAAATCCTATGGCAAATGGTACATTATTTGAAAGCCAATTTAATCGTGATTACTAATCTGCTTTGCTTTTTAAATTCTATTGATTCGTTTCGGAGAACTGACAGGTTCAGTTAAGTTTAACAAACGAAGCGTCAAAATAAAATTTTAATTGACGTGTTTGAGGATTTTTAGAAATTTCTAAATTTAATACCCTAAAAGCCCCCTGTATACTTCTCGTTGGGCCACTCTGTATATAGAAATAAAAGGTACTGCAATCCTGTGTGATATCCGACATTGACGATCATCATTATTCTGGCGAAATAGAAATGCTAAAAAATACGTTAAATTAAAAAAATTCTGCCTCGGCCGGGAATCGAACCCGTGCCGCCAATTTTCCATAAATGATTATCATTATTATCCCTATCTTGTTTTGGGCCCTCAACAGGCATGCGCCCAATTACAGAGTGACCCGTCGAACGATCGGAACGAAATTCGAAACGGTCAAAGAGAACCGCCAAACGCGTTTACTGTATAAATTTCATCAAAATCGGCCATTTTGTTTTCGCATTGTAGCGAAAGTACGTTGTCGAAGTTTAAAAATCGCGTTGCTCCCTACACAGATCGCATTTATGGACCGATTGGAACAGTTCAACGACCGATACGTCCCAAATGTCTTCCGATTGGGGCCGTTACCTTTAGTTACCCCGATTTTCTAGACGTTTTTTTGGAAAAAATTTGAAAGTGAATTGTCGTTTTTTTCGAAAAAATATTAATATCTAGGCAATACCCTAATTTACGATGTCCATATTAGATACCCTTAAAGAGGGACTTGAAACGCTTCTAACCTATAAATTTCATTCGGATAGGATTATTAGTTTTTGAGTAATTAAAAAAAAAATTTTTTAATTAAAAAAAAAAATTATTATTATTATTATTATTATAGATTCGTATAAACCCGAGTAAACGGCGGGAGTAAATGTAACTCTCAGTAAAAACGCGAGTAAACGGCGGGAGTAGATTTAACACGCGGGTAAAAGACGTGAGTAAATGTAACTCTATTCATAAACGCTAGTAAACGGCGGGAGTAGCACACACCACCGCGTCATTCCGACGATGACAACCCCCAAAACGTTTCATATTCGTAGAAAAAAGTAAGTTTATAAGTAGGTAATGGCGTAAAGGAGAAAGACGAAGAGAGAGAGAGAGAGTATCTATCTACTTCTACTACTACTACTACTACTATAAAGACGGACGATGTTTTTTTAAAAATTTTTCGTTTACGTCCACGCAAGTGAGAGGAGGTAAAAAACGTTCAACAACAACAAAAAATTTTACTTCCTCTAAACGATCAAGTTCGGTCGACTTTCCCACGCGTCCGTCGACGGTAGGCCGACGGGCGTCGGTCCGAAGACCTCGCTAAATCGTTCGATTGGTAGTAGCGACGGGCGGTGTGTACAAAGGGCAGGGACGTAATCAACGCGAGCTTATGACTCGCGCTTACTGGGAATTCCTCGTTCATGGGGAAGAATTTCAAGTCCCAATCCACTAGCACGAAGGAGTTTCAGCGGATTACCCGCGCCTCTCGGGCGAGGGCTATCTGCGCACACGCTGATTCCTTCAGTGTAGCGCCGCGTGCGGCCCAGGACATCTAAGGGCATCACAGACCTTGTTATTGCTCTCTATACCGCATATTCTAATGACATTTGGAATTTATTTGTTTATTTATTTATATATTTATATATTTATTTATTTATATATTTATTTATTTATTTATTTATTTATTTATTTATTTATTTATTTATTTATTTATTTATTTATTTATTTATTTATTTATTTATTTATTTATTTATTTATTTAGACACGTCTCGTTCAGACGATTCATTTTGCCTTTGAGAGTACTCTCCTCCGACAAACCGGTTGCGAAATATTCATTCTTAAAGTTTTGGAATATGGTTTCCCTCCAATTCGGAAGGTATCAGCCATCGTCGGGCTAAAAAAAGTCGCATGATAAGACTAAAAACACAGTAGTCGGTTTTGATCGCCGAATCAGCAGCCTCTTGTTATATCCCACACAAAACGGTAAACTATTCGGCTTAGAAAATATGAAAATTGCAATGTTGTCACTATCAAAGATGGATTCTCATTATTTTTCATATCCCATAAAGCAGGTCATTCTTCAATTTCCAAATAAACCAATAGTTCAAAATCAATAATACGAAACATTGTGGAAAATCTAGGGCTTATTCCGCAGATTTTTTTTATTGAACACTCTTAGTTTTAAGGTGCCCTCTATCCATTTTTATTAATTTCATGATCGTACCTGGGGTGATTATTAGCGTCACGTCAAATGAATTGAATTGGCGAAAATTTTATTCAATTTAACTTTTATTGAAGTATAACAGCAACGTTATTGCGGATTAAAGTAAAGCACTAGACGGGTGCTTTGTAAACCAGCTTGAACCAATAACCACATTCACAGCGTTTAGGATGTCCTCGGTGAAGCCACATGTAGCTAATGCTCGAAACGTGCTCGTTGCAACGACAACCGACGATACGTTTGTCATACGCGGATGGTATTTCCGTTGGACAGTCCTTGGTACCCGGGCCACGTTCCATCCCAACATCGTCAAAGGGATGCTTGTTGCCCGCCATGATCGCAAGCAGTTCTCTTTTTTCAATGCCGGTAGCGACGTCCAACGGGTGGCCTAACGTTACTACAAACAAATAACTGTTTATTGAACAAAGTACTGAAAGATAGTACCTACCTTTTACCTTAGTACGAACATTCGAAATGGTCTTTTGTTGAATAAAACGTTTGACGCACATTAATGCCATTGCTTGACAGATTATTGAGTTTGTTTTGCGGATTGCTGCGAATTACACCGGTTTCAACTACAACTAACAGTCAGTACATTTATCATTTCACAGTTACAATGATTACAGTGATTATTGCACTGTACAGCACATATTCGAAGTTGGGTTTTTTTTAATCACCAGGAAAAGGCTGTATTGAAGGAAAACACGATTAAAAAGCTAAAAATGTTCAGTTTTCAAAATATTGGCTATTTAAGATTTTTAGCATTGGAAATACATGCTTATGTTTTTTTTTTTACAGATACATTGAAAAGTATTCAAATACTTAAAAAAATAAGTATTCAAATACTTTAGAATTTTATTTTTTTTTTACATTTGATACTTATTTAACACCTATTTTACATTATAACTTACATGTATTTAATAAAAAAAAAAAAAAAGGTTTCAAGATTTAAGAAAGGAAGAAAATTTCATTTAATATGTTTTGTATATGGGTATGAAGTTACCAGTTTCGTCAAACAGAAAAGAAGACAGTGGTGTCGGGTCAAGCATTCATTGTACCGTACTCGGCCGCAATCGGTAGATTAAAGAAAAGTCGCGGATACTGTCCATACGGTACTTACTTAATAGTGCGCAATTGTTTGTTAATTCCAATCTAAAATTCTCGCGCATCTCCTTTGATAGTATTAGGAGCATGTTATGATGAGGGTTATTATTCACATAGTCTACGTTTGCGACACGAGCGAGCTTGCGAGCGAGTGGAGTAAGTGATCCCTTGTGAATAAGGCTTATTTGTGTTTTACGTATGGCGTTATACGGTTATCATTTCCAATGTTTTCGATGGTTGCATGGATTGCGAAATCTGTTAATTTTTCTATTGTAATAATGCTATTAAGTACGGTTTTACGTGGTAAGAAAGAGTGACTTTTCAAATATTTGAGATAGACTACTTTATATAAAGTTGATCTTATTTTTGAAAAATCCTTCGTAGTTTCTGTTGGCATTTGCACAGTTTGTGGAAAGCATCGACATACCACAAGACATAGAAGGAATAAGACAGTTATAAAGTGAACGTAATTTTTTTTGATTTTTAAATTCAATTTTTAATGCTAGTTTTTGAACTTCTGTATTTATGTATCAAATATCTATACAGCTTACTAAATTGGCAATTATGATTTGGGCTCCGAACGTCATTTTTTGACATACTAATTAAAATGTCAAAACGCTAAATATCGTAAAATCTGAAAAGAAAACGTTTAGGGTGATCCATTAAAAATAAGCAAGTGGCACAAACTGCGGGTATGTGCCACCAACTTGAAAATATTTTAGATGAATTGTGGAACCAGAGTAATAAATAGTATGACAGGTGTCAGTTGAGTTTGAAAGTAAATCAATTGAATATAAAGAACAGTTTCAAAAATGATTCATTATCTATGCCACCCTGTATATTGACAGCCACCAAATTTGATAACAAAAAATTGATATGTTGTGTCTAAACCCATTTGTTAAAAATGCGATCAGAAGACTATGTAGCTATATAATATGAACTTGCAGTTTGTGTTTTACATGATGAAATCTGTAGATTTACGTATTTTGAGGCCGATTCTAAATTCGTTAAACGATTGCGCCTTTAGTAATTAATGACCCCCATAACAAAGTAAAAGCCTGTAAGTAAATATCGATTTGGAGCCGTTTCGATGTACAAATTAATTTAAAAACAATCTTATGTGAAAGTAAAGACGTCGAACATTGAAACGACAACTTGATGAACCATCCGAAGAGAAACGTATTATTCGAGGTCGGTGTGTATATTTTTCAGCGGCATAATACCTTTTTACGATCCCCTTATCATGAAAAGGGAAATTGGCGATGTTTCAGCGAAATAAGTGAGAACAACCGAGAGGCGAGTGATTACCATTATCCTGAGAATAATCCGCGTTCTTGTAGTGTTTAATAGAACGCGTGCACAAAACAACTGTTGTACAAGGAACAGGTCCTTGTTTTATCAGGATAAGGTCTGGTTGCGGTCCGCCGAATATAAACAGGCAATTGTCTGAAATGAAGCAATCAGTGGCTCAGGCGGCGATAAGAGCCTGGCGTAACGACCGCCATGGGAAACATTAACAGACTCCTCGTCAGATTACTTGCACATCTCCTGTTGGAAGTGTAAAAGAAATAAGGACACATGCCGCAATTGTTCTTTTGCTCTTCAATTTTCGATTTATTTTCGTTTATTCACTCACTACGTAGTATTATGACGGTAATTGCGTGAAGGTGCAATGAAAGTGGCTGTACATTAATTTTATTATTATGTGCGATCACTTAAACGATATGAGAGAAAGAACCGTGCATTTCTGCAACCTCCTCTTACCAAAAATTAAGTGAAAATTTATTTCTCATTACATTCAAATTTCTGTACGTCATTTCAAATATATTTTTGAAAGTTTAGAGCGTTTATCATGTACAGGGTGCTGGGTGAATCAACGATCGCGCGGAGAAACTTAATGCCTTGAAGATAAATAAGATTTTTCGATAGAGTGCTTTTATGTTATGATATGGTTGAATATTCTCCACATTTTAAATATATTTTGAATTATACAGGATGCATTCACAAAGTAGGGCGCTAAAAAAGTACATTTTTTAAACGGAATCCCGTGTATTTCAATGCATTTTTTATTCTACGTGTCATGTTACGACTTTTATTATATGGGGAATATACGAGGAAATTGTAGTATTAAAGATAATTCGATTTTTAATTTGGCATTGGCAACGGTCATTTTATTGTCAAAATTACTACTTAAATTTTGATTCCACAAGCTTTATCTATATCTTTTATCCTGAGTAAAGTAAAAGTCAAATAAATCTACTATAAAACAATTCAAAATAGATTTTATCGGGTGTTTTCTTTGTAGGTCCAAAGTTACAAAAATCTCAATTTTTTTATGAAACACCCTGTATATTTTTCTGTCATCTTTTAGCTCTTCTAAAAACCTTCAACTTTTGGTAATATGTTCTACACCTGTCTCTGATTGTTTTCGAAATATCTTGGTTTTCGTGTTTTTTATATTCTAATCCTAAATAAGTTATAATTTACGTAATACCGAGGTGACTGGCAGAGCGGACTCGCTGGCGCGATACCTGGGAAAACCTTTCGTTAGAATTTTACTAGAAATTCCAGCGACTACGCCACTGGATAGAATCCGAAAATGATTTCATTTGCATACTGCACACTGACGGTCACCGGCAACATATGCAACGAGCGTGTGTGCCATGCTCGGTGCTATGTACAACTTGAAGTACTTATACCGTTCAGGCGTACACACAACAACCTCAATGCACCAGGCCGCGACCCGCACCATCAGTGATGGGTATAGGGCGTCTTGGCAGTCCTCGGAGAACATTCCTGTTTAACTGACTCCACAATGGAGTTGGTAAGAAGAACTACTTTGCCCTGTAAGTCGGCAGGAACCGAGAGGCGCTCCCCGAGAGGGCATCCTCTAACTTTTTCTCCAAAGAGATGTTTTTAAAGAAGAATATCCGTTACCTTGGGGCTGCGATAACCATTTTGGACGGCTACCTTGCATTGCAGTTTAATTTCAAATGAAATTATTCTATGATCAGACGTAGTCGCTTCTGGAGTGACTTGCCAGTTCATCATATGGTCAGAGATACTCGATGATGTCCGACTGAGATCAATCATAGTCTGGCTTCGGGTACTTACGAACGTGGGTTCGCTGCCCTGATTGACAATCGTTAGATTAGTACTTGTCAGATATTTAAGTAATGATTTATTAACTCCGTATAGGGTTGACGTTAGTGCTCCCCCCTTTAGTATGCTGAATATTTCTGTCACACGATGTACTGATGCTATTCCTACTTGAGCTTTGCCCTGTATGTTACAGCTTACCTGTATAGTCGTGATATCAAGGCAGCAGAAGAGCTTCAACATGGCTAGGAACATAAATACATCTTTTTTTCTTGCCGATTATCAAAGAAAACGGTTCCTTTTGTGCCTGATCCTTTTCCTCAATGCTAGCTATCAGCCTCCCTTGAGGTTGATATTGCATAGCTGCGTGGAAGAGATACCAGCTGCTTCCCTTTGACCAGGAATTCTGCACCTCTGAGCGCCGCTTGAACGGCACAAGGACGTCAGGTTCCCCCCAGATCCAGATAGCAGCCTTACGGGGCCTAGGAAGGCAGTCTTCCTCTCGCCTGAGTACCTCGAACCCCTGAACGTGGGTGCTAGTGTAGCGCTTTTTAGGGTGAACAGATGCTGGCCAAGAACATGGGTCACTTGATTTTGTACCATATCTGCCTGGTTAGCCGTTAGCCTACCCAGAGCGTTATCGGTATCTATGATCATTACTTTGAGTTGTCTTTCAGCAGCTTGCTTCTAGCTACTGCGCAGTGCTCCAGCCTTGCTTATACCCGCCTCTATAGTTGAGGCTGTGGATTGCCCTTCTTCCTCGGCGGTTGGCTCGGTGTTTAGTCATCCGGCCTCTCCCCTTTTTCTCTCCGTCTATCCGTTTGGCCGCCTGACCGGAGTTATCTCGAGGAGCCTTCTGGGTCAGGCTTGGGTCACGGGAGGTACGTGGGTGGTTTGGAGGTGACTGTTGGAGAAGTTTGATCAATTTAGTCCAGCCTGGCCATCTTTCTCCTTTTCTCCTCGGCGCCGGAGATGCGCTTGCGTGGTTTGGTGTGTTGCTGAGGCTCGGTTACCTGTGACATAGCTTGAGGGGTATCCTGGGACGCTCCTTTTGTTCTATTGTTTTGATTAGTATCTATGTCTAGCTCCGCACCCACTATAGAGCCCAACAAGGGGACGTGTGCATTAGTAAATTTCAAAGAAATATCGACAATTTTAGTGCGATATTCCACTTCAAATGCGCTTTTAAAGAGACCGCCATTTCGTATGACACTTGCGATATAACAATAAAGTTGACGTTAATTTCGGGCACACATCAATCCATAACGTTCCCGAAACTTGTTTAAACGCTTATCCCAAATTTTTTGCGAATTTTTGAGATCAAAATTAAAATAAGCGCAAAATTAATTAAAAACGAGTTCGGCAA